GTTAGCTAGCTTCTAGTGCGCGCAGGTGAGTGGCGAGATCAGCGACAGTGGGAAAAGACGCAAGGTCAGAGAAGAGCAGGGGAGGAGGAGACGACCGACAGAGGCGGAGGAGGGAGTGGAATAGCGTGCAATAACAACATCTAAGTACACCTGCGCAGTCTCTAAGGCCTGGTAGCAGGGGCGCTCAGACAAGGGGAGGGCGCGATTGATAGCAAGTTGTGGAACTGCGTTACGTGACTCCCAGACGGAGCGAGCGAGCCTCAGTAGTTGCAAAGGCCTCACGTTCAGTGGGCGTGGGGGGCGTCAGAGAGGGCAGCAGACAGGTCGAGGCAGGGGATCTTACCGTCGACGTGAACAGCCAGAGACTGGCCATTCCTGGCGATGTCCCCTCAGTGAGCGGCGGAGGTCGGCAAGCCACGCCTCAAAATTCGATCGCCCGACCCTCCGCATCCAAGCGGAGCACAGCATCCGCCATCACCACGGTTGCAGCAGCTGACCGCCGGCTAGGGGAGGAGGAGGAGAGGGCGGTGGAGAGCGACGGTGGAGACGACCGGCCGGGAGCGCTGGCACAAAAGGGGGAACCAGGGCCGGCAGGTCAGGGCGGCATAGCAGCACGGCGGCTCGGCGACTTGGCAACTCGGTGTCACGACGGCTCGGCTACTCGGCGGCGCGGCGCAGCGGCTCGGCGGCGTGGCGCAGTGGCTCGGCAGTACGGCGCGGCGCTGTATGGCAGGGCCGGCGCAGCGTGACAGGGCCGGCGCGGAGTGACGGTGCCGGCGCGGTCTAGCGGGGCCGGCGCGACGTGACGGGGCCAATGCGGCTTGACGGGGCCGGCGCGGAGGACGGTGCCGCCACGGCGTGACGAGACCGGCACGGTCTAGCGGGGCCGGCCGGCGTGATAGGGGCCGGCGCGGCGGGACGGGGCCAGCGCGGCGTGACAGGTGTGGGCTAGGGCGCAGTCTAAGGCTAGGCTTAGGGCTAGGGGTGGAAACGCAGGCGGGGAGGGGGACCTAACCTAGCGTGATACCATCTCATAATAACGCAATAGACTAGATTGTGCCATACAGGGAGGTTTTGTGCTATGGTGCTGTACCCTCTATGAGCATGCACCTATCTAGCCTATAACATATACAAAATACATGTTGACATCCCAGGCCTCACGACATCCGTAAACTGCTTAAAGATCCAAACCCATTTAAGCTTCGAGGGAGGGTTTACTGTAACTATATAACCTGAGGATAATACCAATTTAGTCCGCACAGGGTCCATCCTCGTGCGGATCAAAAAACTTGCCAGTAGATGTACGCAGAGGTCTCCAGAAGATTCACGGGATTCGATCACGTTCCACATCATGTAGAGCGAGAGATCGTACGGGCCCCGAACTTTGTTCAACGGCCCAGATTTCGAACACCCAGGTTTGTTTTCCGAGCGATTTCGCGAGGACCTTCAGGCGATGAAAACGAGTGGAGTAAGATTTTCTCAGCGACAGAGGCTGTCAAGTTCACCACCAGCTTTAACGATATCGTGTAATTGTGACGTTATGCAGTGGAAGAATTTTTTTCCTTGGACCAGTGGAAACCAGAGAGCTGTTGTGCCCACGAAACTTTCCACACCCCACCAGCTTCGTCTTGAGCTTTTTTTCCTGCATATTTTGCGGGTTTTGTTAATAATCCGGGTCATGTCGGGCACGTTGAAATTGCACGTCGGTCATGTCGAGTTTGATACACTGGAGCCGTTCAGTGAGGCATAGAGGGGTACTGATAAAGGGGAATGGCCAGAATGGCCAGTACCCTTCTAACGCCTCATTGAACGGCTCCAGTGTATCAAACTGATATTCCCTAAAGCTGGATCCGTTTTAAACCTCTCCACCACCTCAACCCAAATACCTTGCAAACCGCCCTTCATGCCGTTTCTGCAAGTTGGTCTGGAACAAATCTTTGCCCCACCAACGTCTCTACTAACGGTCATCCACCAGGGGGGACTGTTAGAAAACACCTCGAACACATTCGCCCCTCGTGCCTTCGCTCCCAAAAGCACCGCCTGCTGCCTAGAGTCTGTCGTCCAATGAATTCCCCAGGGTGTGCAGGCCATTACCCCTGGCATGCCTTGCCATCAAGCAGGGCGTCTGAGTGTAGGTGAGGGCTAAACTGTGGGAGGGAGCCGGGGCCTATAGTGCTGGTGGTTTGCTCTTAGGCCGTGTTCCCGCTGGCGTATTTGAATACGCTGTATCATTCCACGTAGTGGGATACCACGTATAGGCCCGGGTGCAGAGGCAGGGGCCGATGACTGAATGGGAGAGGACTATACATGAGGTAACTGTACAAGGGGGTGATTGTACAGGAGGTGTGGCTGTACCGGAGCATTTGCGTCACTCGAGGGGCGCAGGCGCTGGAAAAACGGTACTAGTTCGTCGATGAACGATCCTTCAACGAGTGGAGATGGCGCCCCTATCAGGAGCAGAACCAGGAGGTACACGTGGACAGTTTTGAGTGGTCTACATTTTCGCCTAATAGTACTAGGCGGGGACGTTACTACTAATCTTGGACAAAGGGGAGGAAGGTGAAGTGAGGAGACACCCGAGGGCATTGTCAATGCTGTGTTGACGACGCTCAGATATTAAGAGGAATATTTTGTTTGGCAGGGATTGCGGATAAGGGACTGACTGGAACATGTGATCGGATTGCTCCTTGTCCGCCAAGTCAACTGAAAAGCCTTCGGAGCGGTAACAGTTATGAGAGATCAGTGTACGGACTGACTACCGAGTCGCATCGCGGAAAGGGGAGGGCAAAATGGAACGAAAATATGACATTTGCGTGGGTTCTAGATGCAGAAATGGGAGCTTTCGAGTGAAGGTTGAAAGTCCCATTCAGGATGTGACGACAGATCTTCTGTCGTCACATCCTGAAGCAATGCCTTGCTTGAAGCAAGGCTGCGGCTTAGGCGAATGTAAAAGTATATACTGTAGGTGAGTGCGACGGGGGTTGTGTTGCTGCGAGGCAAGTGGCCCATGGGATCACCACGAAGGCACTTTGACAGTAGGTTACACTTAGGGTACCTACTCGGTGCCCCCAGGGTTACACGGCAGCACGAAACCCCGAGGGTGCCTTGTGGGGGTCGTGGGGGTTACAATTTGCCACCTAATTTGGGCTGAACACGTGGAGTTGGATGAATCGCACTCTCACATAAAATGTCTCTCACACGGAATGCAGAATGTGGTTGGGTGATGAGCAACTCGGAAATAGTACTAGCCTAGGAACTATCATTTAGGAATGTGTGCTGAGAATATAGGAAGTTGGGTAGAGAATTTTGGGATGGTTGAAGGCGTGTGTCTTACGGTTCTACTTCTGGAAGTTGCGAAAATAGTTTTGGAACTGGCGAAGATTTTGCCCGGGGAGGAGCTCGCGAAGCCCTGTCGAAATGTGCTTCTAACGGTGTAACCAGCCCAAGTTCCGGAACTGTAAGACGCACGCCTTGATTGCATGACCAGGGTTACAGTTTCCCAGACTCTCAGTTGGCAGATGACCTTGGGATTGCACCGCTCCTGGGACTCCTTGGGATGCACCGCTCGCTTCTAGAAAAGGTAACTCGAGGCGGGGACTCGGGGTGTCGCCGAGGGAATGCCGAGCCGAGATGACGAGGGATGGGGTGGGAGGGATAGGGGGGAAGGAGGGGACGTGAATCTATGGGGCGGGGGATTCTCGACACTGGTGGGGGACATTGATTCCTACGTGCTGACATTTCCGCACCAGAGCAGGGATGTTGGTTGGTTGGCTGGGTGGTGGGGGGAAATCCAGCTAGGGGAAACTTGACTCCTCCTGAGGGAGGGGGGGGGGTGATTCCCGTGGTGCTCCAACCATTGTTGCTCCAAACCTCGTACATTCTGGTACGGGGAACACACGGCGAACACTGGGAGGACACGCGGAGAACACGGAGAACACACACTTACACGGAGAACTTGGGGTGATACTGGTTGTGTGGGGTGGGGGATGATTTGGGAATAGAGACGATGCCCAACCTTATCGCAGCTCAACCTGGCGCCCAATCAGAATCCGTTCCCAAAACCCCCGATATACGGGCAATGGGAGATCTGTTTGAGTCACTCATGATTGCGTCTGCGACCAACATATAGCAAGGGACAAGTCGTTGCCGACGAGGTTTCGTCGCCACAGCACTGTGCATCGCCGTCGCCTGATCGCTTCACAAGAGTCGCACACTGGCAACAAACATCGCCACACAAGCCCCCCCCATAAATACCCACCCATTTCGCCATGTGCTCGTGCGAAAGCCTCATTTGCCCGTGGCGAGGGAATGCGAAATACTTGACCGATTGAATTCCCGTCACCCTAAAATCTTGTGCGACTCTGACGAGCTTCGCTTGTATCAAGGCGAGGCGCGACGAGGCTGGCTGATTGGTTGGCTGTATCCCTGGTTTGGGCTTGGTTGGGCACCCTCTGTTTTGTCCGCGTGTTAAGGGACTGCGTTGCAGATTCTAGATCTTACATGATACAGAAATGCATTATGGTGGAATTGAGCTAAGAATGGGATTTCTTATCTGAGAACCTGTTCCCGATTACAGTTGTTCCGATTGAAGCACCGACAAAGGTTGGGTGCTTGGCACCCTCGGCTGCTGGGGCATCACATCGCAACCATTGAACCTCATCCCCAAGCCACCTGTCATCCAATGACAGCACTCCACACTCATCCTGTAACGAGAGGCTTGCCCCGGTACGGCTCGGCATTTGCTTCGCTCGCTGCTAAGCAAACATTCAATGTGAAACCAGACCATTGTCAAACCACGGGTTTATCGGTTTGGTTAGCAGATTCGGCCGCCAAACCTCTCTGCTTGATGGCTGCACTGGCCTGGGAGTTTCAGGAACTGGTTCGGCCATATCTGTGTGGTAGGCTGGTAGCCATTCGTTGGAATTCTCGCTTTCAGGTTTCTGAATTTCAGTTTCTGAGCTTCTGGAAATTCTGAAGTACTAGTCGCCAGTAAATTGTTTGTCAGTTGATGCAGCATCCATTGGGAAATGCTGTTGCCAGTTGCTGATGCCTCCTGTCGTTGCTGAACTTCTGCTTTTCCTGTTGCGAAACCTTGACGTTTCTTGTTGACTGAATCTGGCATCCGTGTATTCAATCTGCCATCTTTCCCCGCGAATTTCACGCCGCTGAATCCGCTCTCCAACTCAGAAATTCCCCCTCTCAGTACTACAAGTTCCAACATCACGCCCGTGAGAAGCCGCATTCACTTCTCGTTCGTCAGCATATGCCATGCCAGGCGCCGTAGTTAAAGTACCAGTAACCTGTTGCTTTCCAGCAGCTTCTAGAACCTCTAGAATTCGCTTGTCTCCCTCCGCTGGTCGCCTCTCCAACAATCGCCATCTCACGATCCGCCTTCATCAGCCGCCGGGTGGTTCGGAAAGCGTACGCGTTAAGGAGCAGACAGGCTGGTCCGCAGGCTCGTGTTTGGGGAGGAGACGAGTCGGAGTCAGTGCCTTCTTGCGAAGAAAGCAGTTAGAAGGAACTGCCATCCATCTGCCACTGGCACAAGATTCTCAGGAGTTACTGCTACTGGTAGTAGGAACCCTGCCAAAAGGGAAGCACCTCGGCGGAGGCGTGGGACGGAGACGAGGGGCTGTGGTGATTCCTGCAGCGACCGCCAATGCTAACGTGGCGTGCGGTACAGGGAGGGAGAAGGCGGGACGCGACGCCATCCGACGTGGCATGCAGCTATTTATCGAGGTTGCCAGATGTTTCTTCCGAAATTTACGAACTGTCGGTTTCTCTCTTTCGCCTATCTCTCTCGTCCCTGCTGCCTGTTTGCTCGTTCTTCCCCCAGAATGACCACTTCAATTTGCGTCTCCGCTTCGTCCCCTCATACTTTAATCTTCTGTATCCCCTCTTTCCCCCCATTGTCCCCCCTGGAATGATATAGCATGGCATGGCATGCTACACCATGGTATGCCATGATATCACATGGTATGACATGGTATGACATGGCATGACATGGCATAACATGGCATGACATGGCACGACATGGCATGACATGGCATGACACGGCATGACATGGCACGACATGGCATGACATATCATGAGCGCAGAACGAGGTGGAGGCGTCACTAGCTGAATTCGAGGCCGCTTTGGAGCTGGACCCCTCCCAGATTCCCTGTAAGCGACAGATAAGAAGCGTCAAGGCTTCACTAGCAGCATAACTACACTGCACTTAACTATCTTACTCGATTATCTTGTTTATTCGATCTGTGCGCTTTTTTCCGCTGTCCGTGCATGACCACCTGACTGGCAGATTTGTGGCAACGGGGCCTCTCACTCTTCTACCTCAACAGGTGTGTTGTATTCGCCCGTGTCTCTCTAGTGTGTGTGCCGCATGCGCTGGTGTGTGCCACATGCGCTGGAGTGTGTCACATGCAAGGGTGGAGTGTGCTGCATGCATGGGTGGAGTGTGCTGCATGCATGGCTGGAGTGTGCTGCATGCGCTGGTGTGTGTCTATTCATAGTTTAATCTGTGACCGGTTATCCCAGTAAAAGTGTTGCCTGTGTTGTTCATTAATATTTATTTACCTCTTAGCAAATATCTCAAGACACCATATCACGACTTCCCAATGTCCCATCCCGTCTTGGGGTCTCAGGTTCGCTGAAGCTTCACAGCAGTTTCGTGCCTGTATTGCTGCGAACTCGAGAGACGCTGAAGAGGTGCGTCCTTCTTCATTAGTGCATTGCCCACGCCCACGCCATTGCCCACGCCCATGCCCACGCCATTGCCCATGCCCATGCCCATGCCCATACCTGTGACTGTGACCATGCCCATGCCCATGCCCATGCCGCCCATGCCCATGCCCATGCCCATGCCCATGCCCATGCCCATACCTGTGACCATGCCCATGCCCATGCCCATGCCCATGCCGCCCATGCCCATGCCCATGCCCATGCCTGTGACCATGCCCATGCCCATGCCCATGCCCATGCCGCCCATGCCCATGCCCATGCCCATGCCCATGCCCATGCCCATGCCCATGCCCATGCCCACGCCCAAGCCATTGCCCACGCCCAAGCCATTGCCCACGCCCACGCCCACGCCCACGCCCACGCCCACGCCCACGCCCACGCCCAAGCCATTGCCCACGCCCAAGCCATTGCCCATGCCCATGCCCATACCCGTGCCCATGCCCATGCCCATATCCGTGCCCATGCCCATGCCCATGCCATGCTGTTCGCGTGTTGCTAATGCTGCAATGCCATGCAATGCCATGCAATGCCATGCAATGCCATGCAATGCCATGCAATGCCATGCAATGCCATGCAATGCCATGTTGTGCCCCTTCTATTCCTCCGCCTCCCCCCCTCCCTTTTCCACCTTCCTCCCCTCCTTCTGCCGTCCCCTCACCTTCCCTCTCTGCAATCTGCTTCGCTCTGCCGCCAGTCTATCTGGTGCTTTGTGACTGAAGGTGATTTTTTAGTCAACTCAAAAATCACCACCGTCCCCTCACCTTCCATTTCTGCTATCTGCTTCTCTCTGCTGCCGCCACTCTATCTGGTGCTCTGCGTCCGAAGCCAGGGCCAACAGTGTCAACTCGGCCAGATTTGTTTGAATTCTGAAACACCTTCCCTCTCTGCAATCTTCTTCTCTCTGCTGCCAGTCCTTCTGGTGCTTTGTGTCAGAAGCCAGGGCCAACGGTGTTGACCCAGCCATAATTTAAAAACACCTTTCCTCTTTCAATCCTTTTCTCTCTCTCTCTCTCTCTCTCTCTCTCTCTCTGCTGCCAGTCTATCTGGTGCTTCGTGTCCGAAGCCAGAGCCAACGGTGTCAACTCGGCCAGATTTGTTTGAATTCTGAAACACCTTCCCTCTCTGCAATCCTTCTCTCTCTGCCGCCAGTCTATCTGGTACTTTGTGTCTGAAGCCAGAGCCAACGGTGCCGACTCCGCCAGAGAAAGCATGCCAGAGGTAAGCTCCGCCGTCTGTTGCTTAACTTCTTTTGACGCAACTTTTGAGTCCGCTTGAGTCAACTCAAAGTGATGCAGAGGAAACATGCCCGAGGAAGGTAGGCTGCACTGCCTTTTGCTCTACTTCTTTTGAGGCGACTTCTTTTAGTCGCTTGTGGGTCCTTTTGAGTCAGTTCAAGAGCAGTCCTTTTGCTTGACTTCTTTTGACGCGACTTTTGAGTCAACTCATAAGTCATGCAGAGGACACATACCAGAAGAAGGTAGGCTGCTCTATCTTTTGCTCTACTTCTTTTGAGGTGCCTAGAAAATGAATTCACTCGAAATCACTTGTGAAGCACCTCAGATATCTCAGCCAGAGGAAAGATGCCCGAAGAAGGTAGGCTTCAACGTCTGTTATTTCACTTGCCGTTCGTTGTTACGGCCGTTTCAAAATGCCATTCATTTCGAATGGCTATGCGAATGTTTTCCTCCCTCCTTTATTTCGCTCCCCTCCTCCCCTCTGCCTACCTAGGTGCCCCGAGACCCTGGAAAGGTTTTGAGAGCAGCGTACGACATGTTTAAGTCTGGAGCTGACCCCTTGCAGGTGAGCCCCATTTTCCCTTCCTTCTCCTCTGCTGCATGTTCCTCTTCTTCTTTGAGATGTTGAGAGAGTTATGCATAAGAAATGCTCGGGACTGGTGCTGTGCTGACATCCATTCATTTTAGAGGCGCCTCAAAAATCTGGTGCTGTGCTGACATCCATTCATTTTAGAGGCGCCTCAAAAATCTGGTGCTGTGCTGACATCCATTCATTTTAGAGGCGCCTCAAAAATCTGGTGCTGTGCTGACATCCATTCATTTTAGAGGCGCCTCAAAAATCTGGTGCTGTGCTGACATCCATTCATTTTAGAGGCGCCTCAAAAATCTGGTGCTGTGCTGACATCCATTCATTTTTTTTTTTATTTAGAGGCGCCTCAAAAATCTGGTGCTGTGCTGACATCCATTCATTTTAGAGGCGCCTCAAAATCTGGTGCTGTGCTGACATCCATTCATTTTAGAGGCGCCTCAAAAATCTGGTGCTGTGCTGACATCCATTCATTTTAGAGGCGCCTCAAAAATCTGGTGCTGTGCTGACATCCATTCATTTTAGAGGCGCCTCAAAAATCTGGTGCTGTGCTGACATCCATTCATTTTAGAGGCGCCTCAAAAATCTGGTGCTGTGCTGACATCCATTCATTTTAGAGGCGCCTCAAAAATCTGGTGCTGTGCTGACATCCATTCATTTTAGAGGCGCCTCAAAAATCTGGTGCTGTGCTGACATCCATTCATTTTAGAGGCGCCTCAAAAATCTGGTGCTGTGCTGACATCCATTCATTTTAGAGGCGCCTCAAAATCTGGTGCTGTGCTGACATCCATTCATTTTAGAGGCGCCTCAAAAATCTGGTGCTGTGCTGACATCCTTTCATTTTAGAGGCGCCTCAAAAATCTGGTGCTGTGCTGACATCCATTCATTTTAGAGCGCTCAAAAATCTGGTGCTGTGCTGACATCCATTCATTTTAGAGGCGCCTCAAAAATCTGGTGCTGTGCTGACATCCTTTCATTTTAGAGGCGCCTCAAAAATCTGGTGCTGTGCTGACATCCATTCATTTTAGAGGCGCCTCAAAAATCTGGTGCTGTGCTGACATCCTTTCATTTTAGAGGCGCCTCAAAAATCTGGTGCTGTGCTGACATCCATTCATTTTAGAGGCGCCTCAAAAATCTGGTGCTGTGCTGACATCCATTCATTTTAGAGGCGCCTCAAAAATCTGGTGCTGTGCTGACATCCATTCATTTTAGAGGCGCCTCAAAAATCTGGTGCTGTGCTGACATCCTTTCATTTTAGAGGCGCCTCAAAAATCTGGTGCTGTGCTGACATCCTTTCATTTTACGACATGGGGCATGGCGAATAGTTTTGAGGCGCTTCAAGTGCGTCTCTTCCTTGGGAGGATGTTGAGAGCAACAAACGGCATGGGGCATGGCAAAAACATGGCATGGCATGCCGGTTTGCAGGTGTTGGCAGCAGCAGGGGATGACGAGGGAGGGTCATCCGCCTTCTATGCGCGGCTATACGTCGGGCTCTTCTTTGAGATCATGGTGAGAACAAGAGTCTATGTGCCATGGGTTGAGTCTACGTGCCATGGGATGAGCCTTTGTGCCATGGGATGAGTCTATGTGCCATGGGATGAGTCTATGTGCCATGGGGTGAGTCTATGTGCCATGGGATGAGTCTATGTGCCATGGGTTGAGTCTACGTGCCATGGGATGAGTCTTTGTGCCATGGGATGAGTCTATGTGCCATGGGGTGAGTCTATGTGCCATGGGATGAGTCTATGTGCCATGGGATGAGTCTATGTGCCATGGGTTGAGTCTACGTGCCATGGGATGAGTCTATGTGCCATGGGGTGAGTCTATGTGCCATGGGATGAGTCTATGTGCCATGGGATGAGTCTATGTGCCATGGGGTGAGTCTATGTGCCATGGGATGAGTCTATGTGTCATGGGATGAGTCTATGTGCCATGGGGTGAGTCTATGTGCCATGGGATGAGTCTATGTGCCATGGGATGAGTCTATGTGCCATGGGTTGAGTCTACGTGCGGTGGGATGAGTCTTTGTGCCATGGGATGAGTCTATGTGCCATGGGATGAGTCTATGTGCCATGGGGTGAGTCTATGTGCCATGGGATGAGTCTATGTGCCATGGGATGAGTCTATGTGCCATGGGGTGAGTCTATGTGCCATGGGATGAGTCTATGTGCCATGGGATGAGTCTATGTGCCATGGGTTGAGTCTACGTGCCCTGGGATGAGTCTTTGTGCCATGGGATGAGTCTATGTGCCATGGGATGAGTCTATGTGCCATGGGATGAGTCTATGTGCCATGGGTTGAGTCTACGTGCCGTGGGATGAGTCTTTGTGCCATGGGATGAGTCTATGTGCCATGGGATGAGTCTATGTGCCATGGGATGAGTCTATGTGCCATGGGTTGAGTCTACGTGCCATGGGATGAGTCTTTGTGCCATGGGTTGAGTCTACGTGCCATGGGATGAGTCTATGTGCCATGGGATGGGTCTACGTGCCATGGGATGAGTCTACGTGCCATGGGATGAGTCTATGTGCCATGGGATGAGTCTATGTGCCATGGGATGAGTCTATGTGCCATGGGGTGAGTCTATGTGCCATGGGATGAGTCTATGTGCCATGGGATGAGTCTATGTGCCATGGGGTGATTCTATGTGCCATGGGATGAGTCTATGTGCCATGGGATGAGTCTATGTGCCATGGGTTGAGTCTACGTGCCATGGGATGAGTCTTTGTGCCATGGGATGAGTCTATGTGCCATGGGGTGAGTCTATGTGCCATGGGATGAGTCTATGTGCCATGGGTTGAGTCTACGTGCCGTGGGATGAGTCTTTGTGCCATGGGATGAGTCTATGTGCCATGGGATGAGTCTATGTGCCATGGGATGAGTCTTTGTGCCATGGGTTGAGTCTACGTGCCATGGGATGAGTCTATGTGCCATGGGATGGGTCTACGTGCCATGGGATGAGTCTACGTGCCATGGGATGAGTCTATGTGCCATGGGATGAGTCTATGTGCCATGGGATGAGTCTATGTGCCATGGGTTGAGTCTACGTGCCATGGGATGAGTCTTTGTGCCATGGGATGAGTCTATGTGCCATGGGATGAGTCTATGTGCCATGGGGTGAGTCTCTGTGCCATGGGATGAGTCTATGTGCCATGGGATGAGTCTATGTGCCATGGGTTGAGTCTACGTGCCGTGGGATGAGTCTTTGTGCCATGGGATGAGTCTATGTGCCATGGGATGAGTCTATGTGCCATGGGATGAGTCTATGTGCCATAGGTTGAGTCTACGTGCCATGGGATGAGTCTATGTGCCATGGGATGAGTCTATGTGCCATGGGATGAGTCTACGTGCCATGGGATGAGTCTACGTGCCATGGGATGAGTCTATGTGCCATGGGATGAGTCTATGTGCCATGGGTTGAGTCTATGTGCCATGGGATGAGTCTACGTGCCATGGGATGAGTCTATGTGCCATGGGATGAGTCTATGTGCCATGGGTTGAGTCTACGTGCCATGGGATGAGTCTATGTGCCATGGGATGAGTCTATGTGCCATGGGATGAGTCTATGTGCCATGGGATGAGTCTACGCGCCATGGGATGAGTCTACGTGCCATGGGATGAGTCTATGTGCCATGGGATGAGTCTATGTGCCATGGGATGAGTCTATGTGCTATGGGGTGATAGGTGCTTATGACCATACATGGTTTCTTCAGTCAGCATCAGCCTTCTATGTGCGGCTCTATGCCGGCCTCTTCTTTGAAATCGTGGTGAGCACAAGAGTGGGTGTGCCATGCGCTGATGGATGCATAGGGTGGGTAGCTGCATGGGCCCGTTCACCTGTTCGAGGCTCATCAGCCTTCTATGCACGGCTCCATGCCGACCTCTTTTCTTTGAGATCGTTGTAAGAGGCGGAGGGCCATATGCGGGTAGATTCATAGGCCCATAAATTTGTTTGTTTGTTGGCGTGGGTTGCCTTCTATGTCGAGCTCTTCTCTGAGGTCTCATCTCGCTCTCTCGTGCCCTACCCTTTCTCGCCCTTCCCTCTCTCTCCCTACCCTCTCTCGCCATACCCTCTCTCTCCCTACCCTTTCTCTGTCTATCCTCTCTCCCCCTACCCTCTCTCCCCCAACCCTCTCTCTCCCTACCCCTGCTCTCCCTACCCTCTCTCTCCCTACCCTCTCTCGCCCTACCCTCTCTCTCCCTACCCTCTCTCTCCCTACCCTCTCCCTTGCCTCAGGGCGATGAGGCAACAAGCCGGAAATACATGCAATCAGCAGCAGCAACAGAATACGCATGCAGGTAACAATGGTGCAGCTTTGGTAGGTTGCTGCATGTAACATTCGTACAAAAAGGCATCGATAAATCACGTAAATTTACGCTCCATTTTCTTCGTGTCATGGATAGGTTAAATGGCATCGCACCAGTTTCACTGGTTTGTCTGTATGCCCTTTAGCAGCAGAGTCCAAATGGTTTATACGCACTGCGTATGGAACTATGAGCTACAGTTTTAGCGAAACAGTCAGAAAATCGCGAGTGTGGCTTCTCGTGGCATGCATTTGGTGCTTCGCACACCGTCAGATCTGGCAGAAACAGTTTCGACGGTTAAGATTGCATTTCGACAACAAAGTGGCGCTGCTCAGTTCCAAAACGCAGCCCACCTTCAACTTGAAAGTTGGCAGTCGCCAACCCAAGCTTGGTTATGCGGCAGTGTTCGTCCAAGTTCAAACGCTCTGCGTTTGAAAACGGGGCGGCTTGCAATTTGGGCCGCTGGTTTTAGCAGCGTAGTCAGCTGAACCAGTACAACCACCCCTTCTGGATTCGTCCCCTTTCAACCATATTCTACCCCACTATCCAGTCTACCTGGCAGCAGCAGTGGCACGGATGCACCGCGTGAGACGGCAATGACTGCCCCTCCTCCCTCCGTCCCTGCTTGCTGCCCCCTCCTCTTATCAGACTACCTGGCAGCGGTGGCATGAGTGCACTGCTTGGATTCCGCCTCACAATCCGCTCACCCGTCCCCCCATCTCCCCCCTTTCCCCATCTCCCCCCTTTCCCCATCTCCCCCCTTTCCCCATCTCCCCCCTTTCCCATCTCCCCCTTTCCCCATCTCCCCCCCTTTCCCATCTCCCCCCTTTCCCCCATCTCCCCCCTTTCCCCATCTCCCCCCTTTCCCCATCTCCCCCCTTTCCCCATCTCCCCCCTTTCCCCATCTCCCCCTTTCCCATCTCCCCCTTTCCCCATCTCCCCCCTTTCCCCATCTCCCCCCTTTCCCCATCTCCCCCCTTTCCCCATCTCCCCCCTTTCCCCATCTCCCCCTTTCCCCATCTCCCCCTTTCCCATCTCCCCCTTTCCCCATCTCCCCCCTTTCCCCATCTCCCCCTTTCCCCCATCTCCCCCCTTTCCCCATCTCCCCCCCTTTCCCCATCTCCCCCCTTTCCCATCTCCCCCCTTTCCCATCTCCCTTTCCCCATCTCCCCCCTTTCCCCATCTCCCCCCTTTCCCCATCTCCCCCCTTTCCCCATCTCCCCTTCCCCCATCTCCCCCCTTTCCCCATCTCCCCCCTTTCCCCATCTCCCCCCTTTCCCCATCTCCCCCCTTTCCCCATCTCCCCCCTTTCCCCATCTCCCCCTTTCCCCATCTCCCCCTTTCCCCATCTCCCCCCTTTCCCCATCTCCCCCCTTTCCCCATCTCCCCCCTTTCCCATCTCCCCCCCTTTCCCCATCTCCCCCCTTTCCCCATCTCCCCCCTTTCCCCATCTCCCCCCTTTCCCCATCTCCCCCCTTTCCCCATCTCCCCCTTTCCCCATCTCCCCCCTTTCCCCATCTCCCCCCTTTCCCCATCTCCCCCCTTTCCCCATCTCCCCCCTTTCCCCATCTCCCCCCTTTCCCCATCTCCCCCTTTCCCCATCTCCCCCCTTTCCCCATCTCCCCCTTTCCCCATCTCCCCCCTTTCCCCATCTCCCCCCTTTCCCCATCTCCCCCCTTTCCCCATCTCCCCCCCTTTCCCCATCTCCCCCCTTTCCCCATCTCCCCCCCTTTCCCCATCTCCCCTTTCCCCCTCCCTTCCCCCATCTCCCCCCTTTCCCCATCTCCCCCCTTTCCCATCCTCCCCCTTTCCCCATCTCCCCCCTTTCCCCATCTCCCCCCTTTCCCCATCTCCCCCCTTTCCCCATCTCCCCCCTTCCCCATCTCCCCCCCTTTCCCCATCTCCCCCCTTTCCCCATCTCCCCCTTTCCCCATCTCCCCCCTTTCCCCATCTCCCCTTCCCCATCTCCCCCCATTTCCCCAGCTCCCCCCTTCCCCCTCCCCCTTCCCCCATCTCCCCCCCCCTTTCCCCATCTCCCCCCTTTCCCCATCTCCCCCTTTCCCCATCTCCCCCTTTCCCATCTTTCCCCATCTCCCCCTTTCCCCATCTCCCCCCTTTCCCCATCTCCCCCTTTCCCATCTCCCCCTTTCCCCATCTCCCCCCTTTCCCCATCTCCCCCCTTCCCATCTCCCCTTTCCCCATCTCCCCCTTTCCCATCTCCCCCCTTCCCCCATCTCCCCCCTTCCCCATCTCCCCCCTTTCCCCATCTCCCCCCTTCCCCATTCCCCCCTTCCCCCATCTCCCCCCTTTCCCCATCTCCCCCCTTCCCCCATTCCCCCTCCTCCATCCCCCTTTCCCCATCTCCCCCCTTTCCCCATCTCCCCCCTTTCCCCATCTCCCCCCTTTCCCCATCTCCCCCTTTCCCCATCTCCCCCCTTTCCCCATCTCCCCCCTTTCCCCATCTCCCCCCTTTCCCCATCTCCCCCTTCCCCCATCTCCCCCTTTCCCTATCTCCCCCCTTTCCCCATCTCCCCCATTTCCCCATCTCCCCCCTTTCCCAATCTCCCCCTTTCCCCATCTCCCCCATTCCCCCATCTCCCCCCTTTCCCAATCTCCCCCCTTCCTCGTTCTTTCACCCTATTCCCCTCAGATCTTCAGACTACCTGGCAGCAGTGACACGAGTGCACTGCTTGGATTCCGCCTCACAACCCTCCCACCCCTCTTCCCGCCTCCCCCCCTTCACCTTTCCTCTTACTTTTCCTCACCCTATCCTCCTCCTCAGATCTTCAGACTACATGGCAGCAGTGGCACGGGTGCATTGCTTGCGACGACAATGGCCACTACCGGTCCCTACTCTAGACAGTGATATTTGACAAGCTTATACATACAGTATATGAAATATGCGTCTGATGGTATTTTGTAGAATTATCAAAACTACCGGTTCCTGCTCTATACAGTGATTTGACATGCTTATACATGTACTTAAGATGAATTTGATGGACAGAGAGGCACACCAATTACCACCTTCGCAGCTATGGTTCTTCGTGCGGCTTGCAAAATCATATCCGATACCTTGTTTATACAATGGTGTGCAATGGTAACAGCCCAACTGTAGTTCTGACCTGCATTGCAGGCTGATAATACTGGTGAGGTAGAAAGTTCCGACAACATATGATGCTGCACCAGTGCAGTATGTTCTCTAAAGCCAATGCTGTAGTGCTAGTCTAGCATCACATCACACGTCGGGCTGCTACCTTGGGTATGTGCTTTAAACATGTCATGTATTGTATCCGACAACTCGTACCAGTCTAGTACCATAGTAGTGTATCTACAGACATACCATACCATACCATCTCCTGCTTGGTATCACAAAACACCAACTAGCCGAAATAATCAGGTTCGTTGCCCGGCGCCCACTTGATATTGCAGCCAATGCTGCCAGGGGGAGAGGTTGGGAACAGAGGTTTAAGGAGAATGAAACAAATCCAACAGGGGTTCGGACGAAAAGCAGCAAACGAGAGGGGTCAACAGGACGGGATAAAGAGGGTCTAAATGCAGAAAATCGTCCTATTGAACTTCTTCAAAGATTGGCAGAGTAGACCCCTTCTGAGGTCCAGGAACTCTATTTTTGAGAGGCCTATAAAATGAACTTCTTCAAAGATTGGCAGAGTAGACCCCTTTTGAGGTCCAGGAACTCCTCTCCTGACACCGCACAATCCTGAGTTTACTTTTAAGGCGCCTCAGAATTAGGCTCTCGCTTGACAGCATGCAATTCCGAGTTTCACGGATGTCCATGGCAGTTACCAGTGATCGACCCCAGCCAACAAAAACAACATATGTATATGAACCTGCGTTTCTGAGGGGCAGTAACAGCTCTCCCCCTGAAAGAACGCAACCCAGAGCGTTATGGGGTCCTTGCTGGTTCCCATTGCCCAAAATTTCCTGTGAGCTAACCCCACACACCAACCATACCTGTGTCTCTGAGGGAGGGGCCGTGACAGCTCTCCCTGTCAAAACACACTCCAGAGACTTATGGAGGACCTTGGCTGTTAATAGCCGCTCATTGGAGGGCTGAGGCGTGTAACAGTTGAATAGCTGAATACAAGCTGAATTCACCTACCTGCGCTTCTGAGGGGCCGTACCAGCCCTCCCTGAGACAACACGATCCACAGCGTTACGGAGGTCCTTGCCAGTTACCGGGCCGGCCATTAGAGGGCACTGCTTGTGACGGCTAAACTCAATCACTCCTACCTGCGTTTCCGCGGAGCAGTAACGGCCCTCCCTGACAGCACGCAGTCCAGAGCATTACGGAGGTCCTTGCCGGTTACCAGCCTCCCTCCCAGTAGACGCCCTGGGCTTGTGACGGCTAATGCAATCACCCCTACCTGCGCAATGACGGCTAATGCAATCACCCCTACCTGCGCTTCTGAGGGGCGGTAACAGCTCTCCCTGACAGCACGCAGTCCAGAGCGTTACGAAGGTCCTTGCCGGTTACCGGGCGCCCATTGGAGGGCCGGGAGTCGTCCAGCTGGCCGTGGTATGCGAGCTCGAATGGGCGGCGGCCGTCCTTTTTGAAGAGGAAGAAGTCAGGCGTGCAGGCAGCTTGGTAGGCCTTGGCCACCTCTTGCGTCTGGTCATAGGGAGGAGGGGAGGAGGGGAGGAGGGGAGGAGGGGAGAAGGGGAGGAGGTGGGGGGTGGGGGTGTTTGAGAAGGGAAGAATATTTCCAACTGCCTGTGGTAGGCCAGCTCGAAGAAGCGCCGGCCGTCCTTTTTTAAGAGAGAGAGAGAAGTCGGGCGCGGCGCGCAGGTGGCTTGATACACCTTGGCCACTTCTTGAGACTGTGGGGCGGGAGAAGGGAGATGGGAGATGAGAGAAGTGGTGAGAGAATGGAGATGGGAGGAGAGAGAGAAGGGGCGAGAGAGCACCTTGGGGTGAGGCATGTACCTTGGGGTGTTGAACTGCTTATTGTGAGTACAAAAGCATGAGCACCCATCTCATCATAGAGGTCGGGAAAGGGAAAGTAGAACTGCTTATAGTGAGGACAGACACATGGGACGCACCTCACCACAGGTGCACGGGTGGCCGCATGGGGCCGACGCCTGGGACTAACACATGTGCATGCATCCACCTCATCATAGAGATAGTCTATTTTTGAGGCGCCTCAAAAATATCCACCTCATCATAGAGATAGATGCACATGTGTGAGATAGGGGAACGGGAAGTTGAACTTGGTATTGTGAGTACCAACGCCTGGGACGCACCTCGTCATACAGATACGGGAAGGGGAAGTTGAACTGCTTAGCTTCCTCTGCCATCTTGTAGGGTCCGTCCTGTGGTTGGGTGAGAAGGGTGAAGCAGAGGGGTTGCAGAGAGAGCAGCAGAAGACTGTTGAGTCGATTCACAGCCCTTAGAGGAATTGAAGGGGAAATTAAACTGCTCAGAGGCCCCTGCTATCTTTTCTGGTCCGTCCTGTTAAGAGGAATGGGAAGAAGTACGCACGTGGGACCATTGCTTAGAATTCTAAAAAATAACTCCACTGGAGACACTCTTAGAGAGTCGAACCACAGGTCTTTCCTGGGTGACTCAAAATAAGTCCGAGGAAAGAAATGGGCGGAAGTACACACGTGGGGCCTGGAGACACTCCCAGAATGGAGCCACAGGAGGGACCAAGGAAACGTGGCTACAGGTTATTTTTGAGGCACCTCAGGAGCAAACCTGGAAACGTGGCTACAGCACACTGCGCAAGGAAACGTGGGACCAATAGACTGTAGCCACGTTTCCTAGGCCTCTCTCTCCTAGGTGGGACCAAGGAAACGAGGCTACAGCATACTGCGCAAATATCCTGCATCGAATAGCTTTTCGGACGATATACTTTTGACATGAAATCACGTGACCTACTAGAAGGTGCGTCACGGCTTACTTGGCCTAGATTGATCCGTGTGATATAAGTTTCGTTTTGAGTCAACTCATAACGAAACTAACATCACACGGATTATGTCAGAGTCACAGCCCAGCTACTAGAAATCACGTGACCTACTAGAAGGTGGGTCAAAGATTATACACTGAGAGAATCTTTGACCTGCTTGAACGTGGGTCAGGGGTGAACTGACCGAGATTGCAACCACTCAGAGTCACAGCACAGCCCATGCTGCAGCGAGGAGGAGGAGGAGGAGGAGGAGGAGGAGGAGGAGGAGGAGGAGGAGGAGGAGGAGGAGGGGAGACAAGAGTGCGGACCGCCAACACGGTAGCACCTACTGGTTACCAGGACCCTCCTTGTAACGTGTTACAGTACATACCTGGGGGTGGGTCAGGGCCGAATTTGCCGAGATTGCAACCACTCCCAGCCCATGCTGCAAAGAACGGGGGAGGGGTGTGTGGAAGGAAAGAAGGGGGAGGGGTGGGGAGGGGGGTTGGAAGGGGAAAGAAGGGGAGAGAAGCAAGTGATGGGGGGGTGTTTGGGGAAAGAAAGGCGGACCAGGCGATAGGGTTGAGGAAGGGGGAAGTAGTGTGCAGAAGGACAGTCGGAGAAGGGGAGAGGGAGGGGGAAGTAGTGTGCGGAAGGACAGTCGGAGAAGGGGAGAGGGAGGGGGCTGGGAAGAGGGGTTGAAGGGGTCGAGAAAGGGGTCGAGAAAGGGGGGGAGGGAGGGAGGGAGGGAGGGAGGGAGGGAGGGAGGGAGGGAGGGAGGGAGGGAGGGAGGGAGGGAGGGAGGGGGAAACGGTTGGGGAAGAGAAAAGAGGGGTGGGTGATTGCTTTTGAGTCGACTCAAAAGTCATCTGATTGCACCCTTCCTCTCTTGGGACGATTGGATGCGCCTGAGACAGCGTACAGCAACAAGCTGAGACTTGATATGCGCCACGAAGGGAAGGGGTGAATGGCCCCTTTGCCCACTGCTTATTTTACTCATTGCCAATTGTACCTTGGAGATGTATTCGCTGCCGAGAGCAACAAGCTGAGACTTGATGTGAACAACGAAGGGGCAATGATTGCAGATGAACATGACCTGCAAGTGTATGGGGGGGAGAGGGGGGAAGGGGAGGTGTATTTTTAGTCGACTTAAAAGACACGGAGGGGAGAAAAGGAGAGGGGCGGCAGGAGCAAAGCAGCGAGACACTGGTAAAACTATCAAACATCAGAAAATAATGGGAGCTGGCACTATCTACATCAGTCATGGCGCCGAAATGGTGCTCCCTCGGACTTTCATGGAAGCTGGCACTATTGAACCTAGCATGCAAGTTTTGTTTGGTGAGCTTACCAGCAAGGCGGGGTGGCCGTCGAAGTCCGATAGGGACCATGTCTTCCCAGTCAGAGGCTCCACGAGCTGGTACAGTCACACGCATTTACAGTCACACGCATGTATAGTCACACGCATGTACAGTCACACGCATGTACAGTCACGCACATGTACAGTCAGACGCATGTACAGTCAGGCACATGTATAGTCACGCACATGTATTGATACATGCATTGAGGGTGAAAACTCGTATGCAGCCAGAAGCTGAAGTACATCACTACAATGTTATAACGCTTGAAATTCATGAGTAGTAGCCTCACTTCGCAAAGTCACTTACCGTGAAATCCGGCGCGCGTGTGCCTAAAGCGAGCGGCTGCGACTCCGTGAGCACCATTCTCACCACCAACGCGCCGCCACCACCAGCGGTACGCGAGCCCGCGCCGGCTGTAGCGCGCTGCGGCGCAAGCAGAGCGCGCGAATCGGGTAACCCGAAAACACGCGACGCTGTGAAACCGACTGTTGCGCTGATCCCGGCAGCCTTAGCGGAAGTGTTTTCTGCAGGAACCTTAACGACGAGAGAGGCCGTAGGAGGGACGCCTCGGCGAGAAAGGAGGGCCTGACACGTGGCAGTCCGGCGGATTGGGAGGTGGAGGTGAGGGGACGCGGAGAGATTGCGGGGAAGGGCAAGCACCATTCTCGGCGCGGGGAGTCGGATGCCGTGATTCGCGGAGATTAGCTTGTCTCTCGTAAGTTTGTGAATGTCGAAATTGGTGGCTGCGAGACATTCGTGAATCG